ATGCCTTTGCCCCCCCGATGCCTTCGGCCACATGATGCCTTCGACCACACAATGCCTTCGACCACCCGATGCCTTCGGCCACCCGATGCCTTCGACCACACGATGCCTTCGGCCACATGATGCCTTCGGCCACACGATACCTTTGGCAACAAAACTATCGACGAAGATTCCTTTTAGAGACAGCCAACCACCGCATGTTATACGACGTCACATCCACCCACCGCATTTAATGCATATGTCGGTGCTACCCCGATTGAGGTGACCCCTCGGCCGTTAGATTGTTGACACGTGTACTCTCATCGCATTTATGGCTGCTATAAATAGCAGCTCATTCTCCATTGTAAAGCATCACAACATCCTTATTCGAATATATACTCTCTCTCTATTTATTGCTCTAACTTCTCTCTAGTTATTCCCCGAAATAACCCCTCGGATAAGCTACCCCTGGGTACACTAATCCATCATTTACAATGGTGCTTTCATCGAGAGGTTTGAACACAATCAAGTGAGAAAATCTCCCAAAAACAACCAAAAATATATAGAAAATCAGTCAAAAACAATCTGAAAAAAAAAGTGTTATGGCATGGTAGATCCGGGATTTCCCAGACCTAGCCGAAGCAACCTTCACCGCGCCTCCGCGCCCCAGGTGGGTCGCCCCGCTTCTGGGCTAGCACTGCCGCCACTGGCTAACCACCACCTGAATCGCCCAAGTGCCGCTCGTCGTCAACAGTCAACCGCCCGACGGTTATCCAACTGGTCAGTCGCCATTCGATCCCTTACGACTCTGCTGACGCAAACCAGGGAACATGCGCTTGGGAACTCCTTGAGTTTCACCATTAATGGTGGCTTGGAGCTCAGGGAAGGTATGTTTCGGGGCTCTGCCGATCTTCCATCGCAGGTTAGCTTTTCTAGCCGCCCTCGCCCCGCTGCAGCTTCCACCCCCATTGTTGGTCAGCGGCCGACCTCCACTGCCTGGCCATGGTGGGATGTTTCACCTGCCTCTCCACGATATGCCCAGATGCTCTTCGCTTGGCTGAGAGCAGACCACGTACAAAGGGCCAAAATGAGAGGGGGCTTAGCAGTCCAAGACGGAGGCGTTGTGGACCGGGTAGACGCAGAGGCTAAGCCTAACTGCAATGCGGATGGTTTAAAACCTGGAGTATATGACAGAAGAGGACCCCATGATCTTGCATTGCCTGACAGATGCAGGAGCAAAGGAATGGTCACAATTGCTCTGTATTATTTGCTTCCCTCCTCTTGTTGGGAATTTGCTTAGAAAAAATAATGCATGTGCTTCCACTTAATTCAGCCTTGGAGCTTATGAAAGGTGCAGACAAAGCTGCCAGCTTGCTGATGGGAGAACCCACTTTGGAATGCAATGAAGTGCAATGGGCCACACACATTCAACAAGTCTGCCAGCTTTTACAAATTAACTTGGGCCCAAGGGAATCAACATGTTACTGTTTATTTCAATCCAGCACACCAAATTATTTCAAACCCATCAAAAGATAAGTACTCTTTAATTTTCATATTATTTACGGAGTATATTTATTTAAATCATTTCTTTTTATCGGGCGAATTTCAAACTATCACACAATTATGATCAAATGCCTAGTAGACTGGGACTTGAGACCCATCATTAGGATTCAAAGCCCTGACTCTCAGGCACAAAGCCCTGACTCCTCAGGCACAAAGCCCTGACTCCTCAGGCACAAAGGCCTGACTCTCAGGCATGAAGACCGGTCTTAGTCATTCCAAGAGTGACGACCGTTGCGTACGAATGGCTCACACCTCCACTCTACTAAGTATTTTATCATTACATCAACAATTCACATTTCCGCTTTTTTCAAGTGACAAACTCCCAATCGGAAACCTAAACCCCAAGAAAAAAATTATATGCATGTTAAATGTGTAGGTACGAAGATGACTTTACCCATTTTTCACCTCGTCTCCACTCGCCTTAAGGAGTGGGGGACTGGGGGACTGAGAGGTCATATTTTCTAGATGAGCAGCAAATATCACGCATAAGCAGGAACGAGAGCTAAGCCAGATGAAGACAGGTTGAACTAGACAAAAGTGATTATTCCGGAAGGGGCCTACCTTCCTTGTTTCATGTTGGGGCGTTAGGTGTACTCTTTTTCCCTTAATTAGGATTTTTTCCCACTGAGTTTTTTCCTATTAAAGGTTTTTAACGAGGCATCTCCTCATCATGGACAAGGGTGGTGGTCCCCCGTCCGGATAGGAAGAAATCAAAGACAGACGAACGTTGCAAATACAGTTTGGACTACTCCCTTTCGCCTCGAGTACTCTCGACTCAGGGAGTGGAGGACTCCTGATGGAGTATATGGACTCTGACCCCCGGTCTGCCGACTACTGGGCCTGGACAACGGTCCACACACGTTTAACGGAAATCATTCATATTATTGTACATTATTATTATTATTATTATTATTATTATTATTATTATTATTATTATTCAGATGTTCTAAATTAGTTTTTTGTACTATCAGTCCATTTATGTAACCGGGTCTGTCAGGCCCATATTAGAGGCCCAGACCCGGATTTTCCCTATATATACTCCTTATAGGAGGGGCTATTGAACCACAACCAATATTGATTCATACACAATACTTCTTCTCTTCTCCTTCTTTCTTGTTCAAATCTTTCCTAGTTTATACAATATGGGTATCAATTATCCAACAGACCGATTCTGCTAAAATTTATGAAGTTATGGCAGAGTTGGTTGATTAAATGATTTTGCTGATTTATGAGAAAATTATATTTAAAATATATTTTATTAATAAATTTGTCACACCCCAGACCACATCTGAGCGCGTGTACAACCGTCGTGTGATTAAGTGACGTCACTCGCAAGTTAAGCCCTTGCTTCTTTGAGGTACTTGGAGATTCTAACACAGAAATCTCCATCGTGCCCACCTTGGGACATCCCTGCAGCGGCCCTTGAAGCCCCCCGGCTTCCTTGACCCGAACCTCCTTGAGAGCCACGCCTCGCTTGGCACCTAAGGTCCCTTATTTGTTTCTCCCTTTGATACCACTCAAGCAATTCCCCCATTTGAGCAAATCGGGCATCGCTCTCATCATTGTGTTCATCATCGGTGTGGAAATCACCCCCGTCATATGGGGTCTCCTCATGTCCCGTCTCGGGAACATAAGTCGAGTCATGGTTCTCGGTGTTAGTTTCATACACCGAACTCACATGACCCTCGCTCACAGTTTGGGCACGATGGCCCACACGACCTCCACGGCCTCCACGGCCTCCTCTTCGACCTCTTGAGCCTCGAGATGCGTCCCGACTAGCTCCAATAGAAGCTACCGGTGTTTCCCCCCCCCCAGATTGTTTCTTGTCGGCATACGTCTACCTTCCATTTCTGAAAAGGACTTGAAACGAGTCATTAGACTCTAATCAATGTCAACTGACGGAAAAACGTTATAGACACGTATTGGCCCAAGTCACTGCCATACCAATTGTTAAGGGTACCATCTTAACATTTAGAGACCTTGCAACGTAGGTAACAATAGTCCTATAAACGTCAAAATGCAATGCTCATGGTTTTCGGTGAAAATCTTTTTGTAAAATCTCATGTGAGAGGTTGAATACATAGTTTAGAACTGAGAAGGCTCTGATACCACTTAATTGTCACGCCCCAGACCGCATCTGAGCGCGTGTACAACCGCCGTGTGATTAAGTGACGTCACTCGCAAGTCAACCTCACATAATCACACATGGCGTTCATGAACATCATTCACACCATACTCAGTAGTAAACATGCATAACAACATCACATCATAGATTGAATGAATAGCGGAAAATATTCAACGGTCAATCATAAGCCACATATGGCAAAACGTAGGCTCGCAGGCCAAAACAATGTAATATTACAAAAGTATCCGTGAGCATAGTTTATGATGTAAAATAATAAAGGAAGCACGAACCACGTCTTCCTCTAGATTCTTTCCACCTGTGCAAAGGTGTAGACAACAGGCCCTAGCTTCAACTTGAAATGGTGGCCCCCCCTGAAGGGGTCAGTACAAGTACCGAGCGAGTAGCAAGCTAAATGTAGAGTAACTAACGTTTCAAGTATAAGACCCAAACATAGGGTGATACATATAGTTATATTTCTTTACCCCAAGTTACAAAATACATATCGGTGCTTATATACACTTGGAAATACCCGACCCGTAGGTCATTGTTTAATTGGGAAAGTAGTAGTAGTCAATGTCCTTGATTTAAAACCCCCAACCTACCCATAGACCTATGAGTGTATAGGACTCCTATTGTCCAAACAAATAATCATAAGGACATCGCCCGGTCCTGAATTACTAAACAATAATCTATGAGTTTTGAGGATACACGCCCGATCCTTGGGTACTCCACCCTATATAACCGAGTTTTGAGGATAACGCCCGATCCTTGGGTACTCCACCCTATACAACCGAGTTTTGAGGATACCGCCCCGATCCTTGGGTACTCCACCCTATATAATCAAGTTTTGAGGATACCGCCCGATCCTTGGGTACTCCACCCGTCCTATGATTTACCACATATCATACTAGATAGGGCCTATATCATAATCAATAAACAAGACTAGACTAAGTCTTAAGGCCTAAGCAAAATTATCCATGCAATTCATGCATTAAAATTATTAAATAGGTAAAGTAAGGCCAAACCGGCGCCGGTCAACTCTCGGTTGACCCGCCGTTCAAATCCTATTTGTGTCAAACTTAGTCACAACATGTACTAAGTTATAAATAACCATTTTATGCACATTTCATCTCTAAACATATCACATATGTTTTTATAGGCATATCACTTCATAAATCATGCATATTTCAATAGTTCACTTCATACAAACCTAATCACTTTAATTGGCTAATCACATGTTTAATTCATTTAAACATTATTATGAACACACATAACATTTACTTAGGAAATCTCATGCTTAACCCAAAAGTTACAAGACATTAAGCCATCCACTCACCTCAAATGAGCTTTAAAAAGATTCTACACTTCTTAGTCGAACTCAGGCGAAACTCCGACGAACTTCGGCGAAACTCCGACGAAACTCTGGCGAACTTTAGAAACACTTTAGTCAAGCTCCTAATATGGTTTTATCATCACAAAACTCATATCAATACAAATAACCTCCAAAAGGTTATTTTCCGGCGAACCGGTCATATTGGCTTCTAAGTCCGTTCTTGGACTTAGAACTACCTTCCAACCCCTCATTCTACACCTCTAAACATGTAGAACAAATTCTAGGGGTCTTCCATATGATATATAATTCATATGATAAGTAAAAAGTAAGGGAAAAGTTATTATAAGGTGAATACCTTAATTATCCAAGTTTTCCTCACTTTTTCCTTCTTAATCCCCCTTATTTTGAACCACCCTTGCTTGAGCTTGTTCTTGGCTATGGAGGATGATAGATGGAGGGTTCTTGCTGCTGATTGGGGTGGGTTGGCCGAACTGATCAAGGGAAGAGGGTGGGAGTGTCCTTTTTGTCTCAATAGCATGTGTGGTGTGGGTGGAAAGGCCCACCCCTATTTTATTTAGATGCTCTTCATCTCAACCACTCCTCTCCCATAAAGCATCCCCTCTTTGTCAACCTTGAGCACAAAAAAACGTGGGGTGGCCCCCACTCATGTGGTAGGTCATCCCAACTTGTCCCGAAATGTACATTCGGCCCCGAAAGTTGTATTTCTCGGACTGTTTTAATTATACTTTATTTTATCGGGTCAAATAAAATATACTATGTGATTTCAATCATTATGGACCCTTAGAATAATTATTAATCCCCCATCTTTAATTTAGAAGTCTCCGAAATTCATTTCGGGCTGATATCCGATAAATTACCAATACCGGTAATTGGGCCTCGTTTGACCAACGGGTCAACCCTATGCCCTTACTATGGCCCAACTAAAATATGTACCATCATATAAATATTATCTAGACCAAGATGAATATAATATGTGGTCCGGGGGTTATCGGGTGGTCCTCGCTCCCGATGTGGGTCCCGCGTGCGATTCACTATTCACGCAAAGTAATCAACAAAATTTACAACCTCGTAAATTCATAAATCATTATTCAAGGTTTATTACATGTTTTACTAAAAAGTAAATATACTTGGAGACGGTGTTACAAATTAAAGAAAAAAAAATGAAAAACACCTAAAATGATCCTCTACAAATCTTCAGCCAATACAACCAGAAAAAGTAATTACAAACTTACTTTTTATTATTATTACACAATTCAGCGTGCGAAATCAAAAGTTAAGTATTGATAGAAAAATTGAGTGATGAACCGAAAAACATTCACCAAATGGCACGAGGCAAGATATTGTCCAAGCGTCTTTAAATTCATCGTATTTGTGGTCATATTGTAGGGTGTTGAAATTGACAAGGAACATGAGGCTTGCACACATGACCGAATCATCCAGCGCAACTGACATAGAGCGCTTTGCAGATTGGATTTTGAAGATAGGTGTTGAAGGTAAATCTCGTAGATCCGAAAGCCCAACACGAACTTTGGATATATCAGGAATGGCCCAGAATCAAAGCGTGTAAAAAATATAAGATCTGAACTAACTAACACTCGAGAGCTCACTTGTATTAATTAACCAATCTGATTACAAGGAATTTCCCGATCGGTAGGTCGGAAACTATGCTTTAATACAAGAAATAAGAGCAATGATGCTATCCTAGAGCCTGAGTCTTGAAATGCTAACCCTTACAATGACTTGAAACCTTCTATTTATACTAATGGAGAGCATGGGATGCCCCATGCTGATTGGCCATTGTTCCACCGACGTGGTCATCCATGCTTCCATTTGCTGATGTCACAGTCTGACATTAATTGCACCTGGCCACTTGCTGGTTGGCCGTTGCTCGAACGGGATGTTGGGCTGTACTGAAGATGCTGTCAAATTGGCCCAAGTATGATGTATAGTCCGAACTCCGTTCGGTATGTCTTCTTACTGGGCTAACCTTTGTTTGGGCCGAACTCCGTTCGGTATGTCTTCTTACTGGATCTATTCATCATAGAGTGATGGGCCCGTTGCTTGGACCAGATATCTTGGGCCTTCCCGATCTGGGTATTGGGCCTCTAGGTCAATATCCCAACACAAGTCCCCCACTTCCGATGTCTCGAACGATAGTGAGTGCATTAGGCAGTATATCAATGTTATAATACCCCGAATGGCGATCGGGGTACAGAAGTAATCAGTTCCCCATGCTGTGATTTGACGGCTGCCGCTTCATTTCCCCATATTCATCATGATAACTGTCGTTTAGTCTTTTCATTAAACACGTGTTTAGCTTAAATGCTCCTTGTGACGTGTTTCTCTCTGATTGGTTCTTGACACGGCGGTTTCAAGGCTATAAATTAGCCTTTAACTTCTCAATTCCGGGTTTCGATTCTGCAATTCTCTGCGCCTTGTTGATTTCCCTGCAATTCTCTCCCAGCTTCCATCGCTCAGGTAACTTCTCAAATCCGGATTCCTTATCTTCATTTCTGGCTCGACCGAGATGAGCCCCAAAGAGCATTCCTCTGATTCGGAGATGGCCTCCCATGGAGATGACCGTGACGCCGCCATTGTGGACGTCATCACAGTCCCGTTTGCCTGTGATTCTACTGAAACGGCGACGAATACCAGGGCTGAGGCGGAGGACCTCCCTAGCACTTCTTCTTCCTCCAGTGAAGATTCCGACGACACCAAATCCGAGGACGAAATAGCCTCCATGGCGGCCGGACGTCCCAACGATTTTCCTCACCATACCCTTGACCTAAAATTGATTAGGGAGAGGCGGCAAAAACTGACCTCCCATAATAGGGCCGAAATTCCGGCCCTTATCCCTGACCCGGTGGATTTCCGTTTGCAAGCTGGGCTTCACCCAATGCGTCATAGGCCCGGAATGACCATAGTTCATTTTGACTCAATTAGGGCCGGCCTTAGGTTTCCGCTACACCCTTTTTACATTTCATTCTTCAATTTCTACGAAGTCGTGCCGACCCAAATTATGCCGAACTCCTATCGGGCAATGGCGGGTTTTATTTGCCGTTGTAAAGATGCCGGTGCCCGACCAACCTTAGAACTCTTCCACCAATTTTTCAAGGTAGCCCCCCAACAAACCCACGGCTATCTGGCCACTAGTGCCCGAACGGAACACATCCTTTTCAAGGGAAACCCAACTTTAATCAAAGGGTGGAAAGACCGGTTTTTCTTCGTGTCTGTCCCGGATGGCCTAATTCCCCGCAAATGGAATGCCTTCCCCCACAAAACTCCTGATCCTGTCCTCACTGAAGAAATTTACAAGGACGTGCTTGCTGTGGAGAAGGATAAATGCATGGACATCATGAGTTATCTGACTCCCGAAGGACTTATTACAGCCGGGATAGGTACTGTCCGTTCTCTTGGGTTTACTTGTTTTGAGAAACCAAGTGCCATGGTCCGGGCGGTCCTTCCCGTGCGAGAAACGTTCTTTTGTTCTTTTTTCTAGTTTCTCACACGCTAAGGCCGCTCGATACTAACCTTGTCCTTTGTCTTTTTTCAGCACCAAACCCAGATCTACCTATGGATGATAGCAGAGTTATCGCAGCCGGTGGGGCCGGTAAACGGAAAAAATCCAGGAAGAATCCTCAACCTACTCCCTCCATTGTTCCTGCTCAGGAGGCTGCCTCTTCTCAACCGCTTCCAGAGCCACAACCAATACAGCAGGTCCATCAGGACCAATTCGAGGCCATGCTGGTCGACGATCGGTTCGGCTCTGACCAACTGCATCAGTTCTCTCAGCATTTTGACTCCGTTCGGGGGGAACCCTCGAATGCAGGTGAGACCCACACCGACCATATTACTGATCAGGTCGAGCGGATCTCCTTATCTGATCCTGTCCACGAGGTATTAGAAAAGGCTGGTTCTACCGCGAGCCAGATCTGGTCGACCTCCTCTTGGTTCAACAATTTTTCCCTTCCTCAGTTGCCGGTCGAGCAATCTGAAGAATGTCTGGCCTTGACTGCTCTGAAGGTACATTATCTTTTGCGCTTTGTTTTTATTTTACTCTGTGATTAGTACTAACTCTCGAACGGTGCTCTGTAGATGGGTTTGTACACCCTTCAAATGCGGGAAGCCCGTCTGGCCAAGGAACAGGAACTGATTGTTGCCCAGTCTTCTGCTGAGCAAAATGCTGCTGCCGCCATCGCCTCTCTGGAGGCCGAACGGAAGGCCTTTGCGGAGGAGAAGCAGAGGCCGGATGCTGAGCTCGGTACCCTTCGGGTCCAACTTGCAGCTTCCCAGGCAAAGGTCCTTGCTGCTGAGGCCGCACAGGTCAAGTTTGAAGAAATGCCATCCAGCATCCCGGACGGTCCCTATGAAGTGAACGTGGATCTGTCCACCGTCCGGGAAACATTTAAATCCTCTGATGAATTCTCCATCATCAAGGATGATTACGCAAGGACCCAAATCCCGTTCGCCTTTGGGGCGTACTTGAAGGGTTTCCCCAAAGGTGTTGGTCGGCTATCGGCAGGGGTGGCCCTCTTGGACAAGGATCCCGAGGCCAAAAAATGGAACGAATCCATTGTTTCAGACCTTTATGGCAAAATTGGCCAGGTCCTGCTGCGTCCCTTCGTTGCTCAGCTTCAAAATAATCTGGGGAGGCCGGTTCAGGCTTCTGATCTTCCCAAAGATGATATTATACAGGCGCAGTTCGAGAAATTTCTGCGAGCCCAGCAACGGGAAGCTGATCGGGCTGCTGGGAGAGAGCATGAACCCCCGACTAATGATGATGAGGACGAAGACGAAGAGGGAGATGAAATGGCCCCTGGCCAATAATTTATATGTACTTTTTAATTACTTGTTGTAATTTTCCTTTCTCTAAGTAGCTTGTACTTCCCGGTCAGTAGAACCGATGAATATATATCCCTTTTTTGCATGAAGCTTTGTATACCGTCTTTTCTGTCTTTATTGCATGATTTACTCGCCATTCGGGATTCGGCCCGTTTTTTAGGACCTAACCAATTTCCTGACTTTATTTCTTGCTCAAATACTCCTAATGTCGTTGATCGCCGTTCGGGCATTAGAAGGTTCTGATAAGTTATTAAGGAAAAAACCCCTTCTCTCTGGGACTCAGCTGTTCGGGCTTCAGACCATTTTTTAGGACTTAGCACATTCTAGCTTTAGATAATCTTTTACAACGTTGATAGCCGGTCGAGCTTCAGATCAATCCTTGTCCAATGGAGTCGTTTTCTTCGTCGTTCGGGCTTCAGACCAATTTTTAGGACTTAGCCGTTTGATTTCAGATAACCTTTTACAATATTGATAGCCGGTCGGGCTTCAGGTTAACTTTTAGGACTTAGCAGTTCTTCTAAACAACAAGTCCATGTGATCTTGGCTAATCCTCTGTAAGCCCGTCCGGGGTACGTGCACAAAGAATGAATCATAAATGCCCCAGATTAATCGTAACCACCCTATGCCACGTGTTGCTCATGGATTAGGGATTTGTGC